CCTAAAGGTCATATGAGGTCAGGTCATTTTCGTGACCTCACCATTATAAGTCAATGGGGAAAAATTAAAACTGCTATTCTGGCGCCGGGAACGATCTCCAACTGTGTCAAGCACACAGAATCGTGATTTGATGCACTCCTTGCAAGGTTAGATGCGTCACTTTTGCAATGTTGACCTTTCGTGACGTCATTTATGACGTCATCAAGGTCATATTCGTTTTTCGTCAATAACTTTTGATCAAATTGAGATAGCGAGTCGGGAAAGCCACCAATGGACTTAGGAAGACCTGCCGAATCGAATGATATGCGACATGACCTCTTTCGACCAACTTTGTGACCTGGGGGTGCTGACCTGACCTTGACCTGAGGTCAAAACCCTAAGTTGACCTGACCCGCACAAAAAGTATATCATTCGACGCGCCTGAGCCAGGCGAACACGATGCTGCCAAAATCGCGGCTCTGCGGCCATTTTTTGCGGAGTTATTTACCAAAAACTGAACCGTACCTTGGGGCACTTGACCTGACCTCAGAGGTCACCGGTTCATCTAGGACCTTAAAATCGGGTACCAATCTCTGCGTCTCGTAACGGCGCACACGCTCGTTTTTTCCGCGACGCGCTATCTCCACCAGGGGCGAAACGGCGAGGGGGGGTCGTACCCGCCCCTCCCCCCCCTCGGCCGGCGCGTATGTAGAAAACCAATAGGTCCGGCGAGGGTTAACCCTCGCCGGCCGAGAAGAGGGCTGGATATCGCCACCATGTTTTTTGCAAAACTGATGATAGAAGGCTGACATTTCATATGCCTTACATTTGATTCAAGCCGGATCATTTGACATCAACTACGTTTTCAGGTCAGGTCACTTAGCTATGACGTCTTACTTAATCCGCGCCGGGCCGGGGGGGGGGGGGTGTTTGAACACCCCTCCCCCCTACGGTTTCCGCGCCGCCGTTTTTGGCACACCTGTTCGTGCATCTTTTCCACACATGTGCAAATTTCAGACCCAGGTCGCCTTAGGTCAGGTCACCAGGTCACGCCAAGTGACCTCACAGAAAAAATAAGAATGCTCGTCGTAGCTACACCGACTGAACGATTGCCTTGAAACTCTCAGCGATTGATGAGAGCAACATTATCTATGAAATGTATGTCTCGGAATTTTGATATCGGTGACCTAGGTCAGGTCAATTTTGACCTTTCAAGGTCAAATTATAGTTCATTCGACGCGTCTCGACGAGAGGAACACAATGCTGGCAAAAGTAGTGTGATGGCTCTTTTGAGTCAAAAGTTATTGCCGAAAAAACACTTCGTAAAAAAGGCTATTTTTGGAGTTTTTGCCCTCTGAAGGCTAAACCGTTGACTTGAGGTCAAATCTGAGACATTATTCAGAAAGGTCTGTAAAAGGGCTATCGAATGCGTTTTTCCGCGGCGCTGTAGCTCTATCGGTTCCCGAGACAGCCGTCGGCAGTTTTCAAAATGTTTAAATTGTCAACATTTTACCTTTGGTGACCTCTGGTGACCTGACTTTTGACCTGACCCAAAAAATGACTGAAGTGTTTTCGTCCTTATTTTGGACGTTCTTTCGATTGCGCTTACCGCGTGTCGCTACGTGGCCCAGGAGCCGAGTTAGAAGGGGGGGGGGGGTGTTCAGACACCCCCCGGCCCGGCGCGGAATCTCAGAGAACCTGCCCGGCGCAGGTTAAGTAAACCTCTGCACGGTTGTCGGTTATAAAATGGTGCAAGTCCGCAATGCACTTAGTGTCATATGAGCATAATGGGGAAATATGGAAACTGTTAATTTGGCGTCGGAAATTATTTAAAACTATACCTCAAGCACATGAAACCGTGACTTCATTCATTCTTGGCAAGGTATAATGCTTCACTTTTGCATTGTTCACCTTGCGTGACGTCATTTATGACGTCACTAGGGTCATAGGAGTGCTTCGTCAATAACTCCCGATCAAAATGACCTAGCCATTCGGGACAGCCATCAATGGACTTTGCAAGACTTGCCAAATCAAATGTTATGCAACATGTCCTCCTTTCAACAGCTTCGTGACCTGTGTTGCCCTAACATGACATTGACCTGAGGTAAACATCCTAAATTGTTTCACCTAAACAAAAAAGCATATAAATCGACGCGTCTGAGAACAGAAAACACGATTGTATCGAAATGACGATAATGGGACCATTTTTGCGAAGTTATTTACCAAAAACCGATCTAATGCCTTGGGGCCCTTGACCTGCCCTAAGAGGTCACTGATATCTTAAAATGTGGTACCAGTCACTGCGTCACGTAACGACGCAAGCGCTCGTTTTTTTTTTTCGCGAGGATCTAGCAGCTAGCTCAATTATAGGAGCTAAACATGGGGTTGGGGAATCGCTACCTTCTCATTCACTATTAAGCCGGGATAGTGCTTGCAATTATTGTTAAAATCTAGCATTTTAAGATTTCAAATGACCCATTTTTCCCGCCCAAGTCTTTCAATTCAAGGTCATAACACCAGGTCACGTCAAGCGACCTTACCTCAAGGAAAGTTCCTGCTGCTCATTATATCTAAATACACCGACTAACCGATCGCTTTAGAACTTTCAGCGATTTCAATGGGCAACAGTATATGTAATTGAAACGTTTACTTTGCAAGTTTGACATTGTTGACAGAAAGGCCGGGTCAATTTTGAGATCGCTCAAGTCAATGGGAGAAAATTGAACTGCGCTTTTTTGGACGGAACGCATAATAAACACTCTGAAAACATGTGGTGCTTGATGAGATACAATACTGAATGAGAAAATTGTTTGTTTTGTTGAGAGCCATCTTTTTCGGTCTGAAAAGGCCCTTGCAGAGCTATGACATTGCTCTGGTGTAGTAATTGGGTTGTGCGAGCCAGCGCCAGTGATCTGCGAAAGCGAGACTGTTCCCGTGGGACGATTGCCCTGTCGGGACGGTCCAGCCGTCTCCCAAATGGTCACCCGAAGAGGATTAGGTATGTGTCCTGGACTGGAATGGATCCGACATCAACTACAGGTTGGCTGGTGGGGTGGCCTCCAGTCCAGAAAGGGAAGCATGAAGACAAGGGGCGATGCGGATTGTTTTTTTTTTCCTGAGGATAGCGAGGACGGCAGAGTCCCTTCCTCATACTGAATGTATCTCAGGCTGTTAAATCTCCTAAGCGTTTTTTTTTTCTCGACATCGTCAAGGTGTCATTAATAGAAACATGAAATCCGGGAGGATAAATTAGATATAGAAATTGTGGCCAACAGAACATTATCAGTTGCGTTCAACACATTCCTAAGCCTGATCACACACCCAGCTTACATATGAGCCATGTAATGATTATTTTTGATAGACATGCTAAGTTATGAAATCATCTGAAGTGTTTGTAAAGTTCCACGATACGGATCTAATATCCTGGTATGCATCATGACCATTTCTGGCCAGGTCTTGTCTTTGAACATTGGCCAAATTTTTCAAATGACCTTTAAAGATAAACTTTTGATTCATTCGAAGCGTTTTGATAAGAGGAACACGAGGCTGGTAAAATTAATTTCATGCAAGTTTTAAGCTAAAAACTTTTAAGTGTTTGTGAAAAAGCAATTGGTTTTCCGTTTTCTTGTCATACCAATGGTGGCAGTTGCTGTTATTTACGTGCTAAGCCGTTGACCTTAATTAAATCTGACAATATTATTCCGACATAGCGGTAAACGAGCTGATTGTTGTGTTAGGTTAGGGCGGTTAGGCTCTTTCGGTCGATTGCAGAGTGGGAAGGATTACGGAGACAGGGGACCTGGGCGGGAGTCCTGGACCTCATGCTCCGCTGGGGCCGAGCCCATCACGTGGGTTGGATTGCCCTGACACATGGATAGCCCTGGGCGGTGTTTCACGGCCCCGCGCTGCAGCACGCTGCGCTGCGCTGCTGCATTGGTTGTTGCGGCGGTTGATATGAATTCGGCTCCACGCTAGCATTGCCAGCTTTCGAGTCTGTTGATGTTTCCATGGAAATTGGAAACCCAATGCACCGGTGCGCTCAACGCACCCTGTCCAAGCAAAATTTTACTATCGATGACCTCTGGTGACATGACCTCTGGCTCTGACCCGATCTAAAATTGGCTGAAGTATTTTTTTCTTTTTTCTTTGCTACTTTTGACGCTACTTCGAATACCAGAATACCACTGAAATGCCCAAAGCTGAGTATGAGTTATATGAATGATGCTCAATCCCCATTTCCCCTCCAACAGGGCGTGAGATCTAGGCATTCCTGTGGGGCACGGGCTATGACTATCTCATAATTATTGTGGCCATGATCATCTACTGCCATTCTTTAACACCGGTTTCGCTGCGCTGAGCGGTAGCCGTCCCGTTTGTTGGATTCTTCAGCTGGCTGGCGGAAAGCGTTACCGGCCGCCCGTCCACCGCCCGCGGGCCGGACCGAGCGGTCCCGCTGACCCCACGTGACCTGAGCCCGGCGCGATATGGGACAGGCAGACGGGGGTTCCGCTCAGCGAAGGCAGCGCCCACTGGTGCTGGGGACTTTTTTAATAGACCTACTGTACTATTTTGGTAACTTGGACTTCTCGGAGAGCCCCACAATGCATTTCCGAATATGTATTTGTTTTCAGAATAAAAGTTAAGCTTTCGTTTTATTCTTGATAAGCCGCAAATTATCCTGGATTTCGGGCACCCATGGGGTCCCCAAGTGTTCCCTCCCCCCGGATCCGCCAGTGGGGTCAGGTAGAGATTACTGGGTCAAATGGCCTACCATTAAAAAAATAATATCAGGGATGTGGCGAAAAATAAATGGCCTAAATCCGATGAGAAAACAGGAATTGGAGGTATCATAGGTTTGGCTCCTTCCCATACCCCCCCCCCCCCCGGTACTCAAGCCCTGGATCCGCCAGTGTCTCACACAAATATTTTATAGACCACCACACCACTTTCTGCGCCTAATTACATTGACATCAATTATGCGAAAACATTGTGCAGCAGCTCAGATGCATCTACATACTTACCGTTTTGCTCTGGGGCTGACCGGAGCGCGTGAGAGCGGTCAGGCCGGGTCAACGGTGCGCAGTCACCTGATGTCACTCCGCAGTGCAGAGATTGTCGCTCCATGAAGCAGCTATCTTTCAACGGGTCACAGGGCATGAATCATAAATCAAGGACATCTCTTTGTCATTGCACTTAGCCGTTCAGATTGCTTATCGCTCTGTGGGTGGTAGACACTGACAATGAGATTATTATGCTCTTCAACTTGTTCAAAGTTCACTAACTACATGCTGGATTAGATTGTAATGCTTTATTTGTTATTTTGGTAACTTGAATGTACAGCCCTCTGCAAACTGCGTGGTAGGTATTCTTTTTTTGACAAAACCGAGAATAACGCGAATACTATGCTATCGGTCACTCGGAAATCGTAACAGCAAGACGCGCGAGACTCCGCACCTTAGATTGGCATTATCATCGTATTTATGTTCCATCCAGTTTGGCAACAAAACCCAAAAGTTTATATTTGCCCTCAAAACAAACTTTTGCATTTTGTTACCAGACAAGGTGTACACTTTGTTTAGTGATAGACCAAATCGAAGGAGTGGAGCATGGCGCATCTATTTGCAGTTAGTTCCGACCGACTGATAACATAGCCTTTGAGTAATTATCGGTTTTGTCGAAAAAAGAATACCTACCACGCAGTCTGCTGAGGACTGTACATCTAACTCTTATCTTGGCATTTTACTTGTTTTTGGAGAGGTGGACATAGGTGACTTTAATTTTCTTGCCGTTTGTAACTCTTTCAACACTGCGTTTTTTTTGGCAGTGCTTACGTACAGGGTGTCACAAAAAAGTTGACCCAAAGAATTCCTTCGCATTTTTTGGTTTAAGTCCGAAACTGATGAAAACTTACATGTTTGTAGCCAAAACATGGCAAACACGAAAAGCATCCCAATGAACACTCAAGAAGTAAAACAACTCTGGGAAAACATCATATACGAGTAAAACCAGTGCGGGCTACCATAGATGCCGTCGTAGATCCAGAAGCTGGCATTAGCCCTCAGAGATCGGCATCGAGCGCTCAGAGGGGCCCATCAGAAACCGATGTGGTTCGCAAAAAATATATATATATATATATATATATATATATATATATATATATATATATATATATATATATATATATATATATATATATATATATATATATATATATATAGATAGATAGATGCGTGTGGGCCCTCGACATAAGGCTCGACATGCAAATTCCTTAGACAAGGCACTGCCACTCAAACACACGCTCAAAAACGAGAAGTGTGATCATTATTGTCTGATGGGGCAATGCGAGGAGGCTATAAACTAATATACAAGCATGGGTCGTATGACCTATTTTTTTTTTTTTTTAGTTAAAAAAACAAAAACAAAAATATTTATGGTGTCAGGGCTGTGATGAAAAATAAGTGGTATAAATCCGGTGAGAAAACAGGATTTGGGGGTACCCTAGGTTTGGCTCCTTCAGTCTCTGCCCCCACCCCCCACCCCACCCAGTGAAAATTCCTTAGACGAGGCCCTGCAAGATAGGATGAATGGAGCTAGCAATTAAGCCCAAAAAACATCGAAAATGTGACAAAACACTTCTTTTGAAGATGTATTGAATGGTTTTGGAGCCTCACGAGCCTCAGCCTCACGCCATAGCAACAAGCAAGCGTCGCAAATTTCGAACACTATCCGAGTGCGCCAAGTTCGACTACATCGAGGACGATGGGTGATGGTTGCCAGCTGATTAAATGAATGAAACGCGAATAAATTCAACTTTTGTTGGACTGAAAACCAGAACAGCACCAGGACCAGATGGTTTAAGAAACGAGCTCTACCAGCAACTTGCAAATAGCTCAGAAGGCGTGGATACCATAAAAGCATGCATCAAATGAGAGTTGTCTGCTAGCAACAAGCCAAAGATCTGGAAAAGATCACTTACAAAAATGATCCCAAAGAACTCCAAACCCACGGCAAAGCAACACAAACTACGACCGATTGCTCTAACAGACGCTTCCTATAAGATGTAGGTATACATGAGTGTTTTCAGAAACAAGATAGAGAGCACCTTAGAGTGAACAAGGAGATCATGGAAATCCAAGCTGGCTTCACAGACAAAGGGCGGTAGAAGGCGATATTTTCCTGCTACAATACTGCGTAGAGCAATCGTACAAGAAAAAGAATTTAGGGTAAGGTGGGGTAATTTGAACATGTGGGGCAATTTGAACATAGTGTGAATAACACAAAATTACGGAAAATCCGTAAGTGGCATGACAGTAAGACCAAGGAAAGAAATTATCGTTACTAAAAGGGCTATCATATGAACGGGGTTTAAAGTTTCAGGGAATGACGATGTTGACGCACAGTGTAAAAAATCAATTTCGCAAGGATAAACGCCTAACAACACGTCATTGCAACTTCATTGCAGCGCAAAATCTTGCATTGCTAGGGCCTTATACGCAACGGCTTTTCTTGTACAATGACCTAATCAGTGCCTTCAATCCAAGAAATTTGTTTTTGAACCCTGTTTTTAAAAATGGCAAAATAACTTTAAGCGTGGGGTAATTTGAACATAGTGTGAGAATTTCAATGAAGACAGGGATAGCTCCGAAAAACAACGCTCCCATTTTTTTTGCCAATATTTTCGACCCAAAGCAGTATTAGATAAGTGATGCCAGTTTTAGAAAATTTACGGCTAATATCCGTCTAATGTCCGGCATTTTTGTTGATTTTCCGTCCAAAATGTTAAAGTCTACTATTTGTCCAAATATGTCCGAAAATTATGCAGCTATCAACACTCAAAACCGTCATTTATATTGCTTATCATGTAATTTTACCAGCCAAAAAGTGTTCATTATATTGAGAGCTTAACAAGCTTTCCATTCGCCAATCAATGCTACGCACGATTACTTGATAAAAATGCTTAAGTGTGGCAGGCCATCGTCCAATGTTGTCCAGACTACTATACCCTTGTGAAGTCAATTCCGAATTGGACATTATAAAGAATAGGAACTCCGAATGTCCAGGTTCCGATTGGCACCACTATAACAGATGAAGTAAGGTTTGGTAGAGTTTTTATCGAACGGAGATAACAGACGTTCTGTTAATTGAAGAGAGGCGAATTCTGACAACTGACCGGTGTGCAGCGTGCAGATATTGATACTCTGCGACTGCAACTGTTATTTTTGTTGTTGTGTTGATTTTTCAAGTGAAGGTATGTTAAGAATTGTTCTGCCTATTTGTTTAAGGGTCAAGCACAGTGGCGCGGGAACCGGGGGGGGGGGGCTAGGGGGGGCTGAGCCCCTCCAACTTTTTGGCTGGGGGGGGCTCGTAATGTATTTGAGCCCCCCCAGCTGGAGGGATCGAAATCGGAAATCTACCAACACAATTTAATAGATTCATACATAGGCGCGGGAACCGGGGGAGAGGGCAGTGGGGAAAGCTTGCCCTCACAACTCTGGGGCCGTGGGGGCGGTGCCTCACAACTTTTCATGAGGCCAGGAACCGTTGGGGCAGCTTGTTCTCCCCAAATTAGGGGTTGTGGAAGGAAGAAAGGAAGAACAAAGGAAGAAAGCATGTGAGTGAAAAATCTACCTATTTCACTGACTCGGCAACTCATTTGGCAGCTTAAAACCTTTATTCCAGGTTGCCAAAACGGTAGTTTCTTCACTCAGCTGAGACGGAATACCTCACTTTTTTTTTGCAAATATTTTCTTCTTTTTTTTCGTTGAAAAGGCCAAGATCTGAAAAATAAGTGGCCTAAAACCGATGAGAAAACTAGATTTGGGGGTACCCTAGGTTGATCTCTGTGATGGTTCAGCCCCCCAGTCTGGAAGAAGTTCCCGCGCCACTGGTCAAGCAACATCGGTGCTGGCGAGAATATCGTTTTTATGGCAGGTAAAGGCAGTATGTTCCAATTACCCCACGGTGGGGCAATTTGAACACACTGTGACTTGGTGGAGAAGTGATGCTATGCTATTCAAGGTATGCTCGGCTCGTCCAAAAATGAGGCTTGCATGGTAAAAGCAAGTGACACATGCGCTACTGAACGTTTTTCTTCATCCAGGGTTGAGCTGGAATTTGGTACAACGGAGAAGTAGAAATAGGTTCAAATTACCCCATACTACCCTACTGATTGTAGGTAACAGCCATTGATTATGCAAAGGCCTTGACTTAGTGAGAAGAAGCATGAGGTAATAGACATAATGAAAAAGTACAAGATCCACCCAGAGGTGATCAGTTCAGTAGGAACCATATACGGGGAAGATAGAACGATCATCAGCTTGAACAACGGCAACGAACAGAGCATAGACATAACGGGCATAACCAGCGGAATCAGACAAGGTTGCACCGGAAGTACCACTCTGTTCAAGTTGGTAACATACGAAATAGCAAGAGTTTTTTTACGTTTATTTACATCATCTGACACATATACACACATTCATCATATCAACAGAGACAGGATAGTTATTAAAAGTGAACACATGATGATTTTTGGGCCCGTCTGGCCAGACCGGGACGACACTCAAGCTACATAGTGCCATCCCGGCCCCGGGGAGAGCTGGGGGGTACCTCCCCGGCCGGGGAGAGCTGTGGGATACCTCCGAAATAGCAAAAGAGTTTATTACAACCAGAATGGGGTACAATGACCGAAACATCCAGGGGGATGTCGTCCCGGTTCTTCCCATGTATTATTCGCCAATCAGCTTAACACTACCGGTGACGTCACTGGAGGACCGCCAATCGGGGCCGGCCGGCCGGGCCCGTAGAAGGCCAAACGCAGACGTTTTCAGAAAAGCGTAAGCCGTATAGATACAGTCGTGGGTGGATTTTTGCTGTGATTCGGCTCTCCAAGAGTGCGTCAGGGTACCAGGACCCGGACAAATGTCATGGTGAACCGGCATCTGATAAAATCCGCTCACCACTTAGCAGCCGACTTCGACCCTTCACTCTCGTTAAACACAAAAGCTTGCCGGTCATCAATCCACCTGCATCTCTGCATCTGCTTACTACCTATATCGACTAGTTACTGCAGCCGTTTTGGAGCGGCTCACGGCCGATAACACACCGGACGTGCG